CAACCAACCAACCAACCAACCAACCAACCAACCAACCAACCAACCAAACACACACACAGGTCCGGGGTCGATGTCTCCCAACTCCGCTTACGACGAGGCCCTCGATGCGGAGGCGAAGGACGAGGGGAGCCGACTGCAGGCGACCTGCCGACCCTGCGATTCGTGTGCTTCGGGGAAGGTGACAGGTGGTCCTGAGAAGGGGCCGGTTGGGGGGGGTGGTTTGGGGGTTGGTTGGTGGATTGGGCCGAACCGGGATGAGAATCCCCTTCTCGAAAGAGGGTTTTGTGTCACAAATCAGGGCTGTCATCATTTGTCGTCTATAGCGCATCGATGGTCTTAATCCGTCATGGACATTGGTGTACCTCGCACACCCTCGAACACTCTTTTTGCCACGCCTGCACCAAAAAAATAGCGACTAGGACAAACAGCGTCATCTCTGAAACACCGTCCACGGAAGTCTCTTGATACCACTCAGCCCATGCATGTATGACATATTGACCGATCAGTTGGGGTGGTGCCAGGGGGGGTCAATGTAGGCATCTGTTCCAAATATGGACGGTGTAGGCCAGGAGTGAGCAACTCTTGACATGATAAGCCACACGTTTTGGCTGCGACATCGAGAGAACCAAACTCCCGATGTCGTTTCTCTGGGTCGCCGTTTCTCCAACCGTGTGTGCCGTATCTCCAGGTGCCCGTCATGTAGAATCTTGATGAACGATGAGCTACCCTCCACATGATGGGCCTTCTTGATATCTCATATATAACATGTGCTACCTCTTCATACAGTATGGAGGTGTATATTCATCAAGATTTTACATGATGGGCTCATCGATTTTGATTCCACCCTCGCGACCTCGCGACGGTGGCGCCTCTGATTTGGGGGCTCAAAGATGGGTGGTTCTCTGTGAATGTGACTCCAGTTGGCCCTTGGAGGCCTTTCTTGATTTTTGTGTTTAAAGGTCTTTGAAGCTCTCTATATTCTTTTTCCATCTCTTTCCAAGAACTGGTGGAGGAAGCTCCTGCAGGTGGAGTTGCTGGGTTTCTAGGCCATTCTGATTCTTCAGAACGGGTTTCATACTACCATGGATGAATCCTGACCCCTTTTGGTCGGGTTGAATCCACACTAAGGGCCCAAGGGGTTAGAATGTTGCTGGGGTTGGAAGGTTTCTGATTGCCAAGAAAAAGACGCAGCATGGTTTGTATGAGAACTTACTCTTCACCAATTCGCAGAAGAGGATGTGGATGCGGACCAAAACGAAGCACTCCCAATCCACAGTACGTCGATGCGTGTCAACAACCCCTGCAAGTCGATGACTTGAGGAGCATGTATGTTCTGTGTGTGTGTGTGTGTCAACCCCTGTTTCGAAGGGAACTAATCTAGCTACTTCT